TGGGTAGTAACTGATTACATGTAATCTGGATTACAGTTACTTTTTTATGGATTACATGATTACATATGATTTATAAATTGGCAGTAAATTGTACCTTTTAAAATGTCCTTTCTAAAACCCCTACTGCGTCTCATACCATTTAGCTTTGACTATATTCACAATATAGAATAGCCATGTAAATGTTGTGTAAATACATTTGCAATACAATTTAGACCATGTATGAAACAAATAATTATGCAAATTACTAAACACTGGTGATGTATAGATGTGAAACACCATGTCATTATCATATCCAGTGACTCAGATTTAATTAATTATTAAATATTAAGCCCAGCTTGGGAAACCCTGGTTTTATGTAATGTTTAACAAAGTAAAAAAATATATTTTCTTGCTTTGTATTTTTGTCTTGTTTTCTAATATAAATATCTAAACATGCTTGAATCAAGATGCATTTACTTGACAAGTAAAATTACGTCTTTTTTTCTGAAAAAAAAAAATATTGTTACCTTTTGCTTAAAACAAGCAATAATATCTGCCAATGGGGCAAGAAAAATAATCTTGTTTAGCTTTTGAATTAAGATTATTCTTCTTAACCTACTGGCAGATATTTTTGCTTGTGTTAAGCAAATACTAAAACAAAAATGATAATTATTTTCAGAAAACAAGCCATAATATCTTTGACAAGTAAATGCATTTTTTTTTGTTGTTGCAGTGAATGCATTGTATGATAATGGAATATATTTTCTTTTTTATATTAATATGGTGCTTTAAAACATGGTAAGTTTAAAACAAGTTAGATAGAAAGTAATCTAAAAAGATACAAGTATATATTACCTAAAAGTGAGTAACTTAGATTACGTTCGATAACTAGGTGTATGTGCAAAGACAGTGAGTGGAGGCCCCTTTCCCATCATCCCATGATCCATGCTATTTATCACTATTTGTTTTTTTCAAATAATAAGATACTATACTAATAAGATACTACCTATACATATTTCACTCACTGATACAGTAATTAAAAACAACAATATTACAAATATGTATATCACGTGTAATAGTAATATAAAATTAGTTACTGTATTATTTGCATTCATGTTAATGCAGTGCTCTGAATAATCTTTGTGTATGAATTATGCTATACATAATGCTTAGAATTGTGCTGCAGATAAAATTGACATGAATTGCATGTTTTATTAACAGAGACGTTGTGAGTTGTAGACGATAACATTACAACTCTTTCAAACTACTTATAATTGAAAAATACAGTATATCAATAAATCAATAAATCAATCAATCAAATACAAATGAAATAATTAATTAGGCCTACCTTCCCTCGCGTCTTGTGATGGGCCGTTTGCTGTGACTGCTGTGGTTGCTGGAACAGAGTGTTTCATGTGAAATCACATTCTTATTGTTATTATTATTATTACTATTATTATTATTCAGTTTATTATCATCCCATCTTGAGCAAGCTCAATTTAATTCATTTTGACGCAAGATCGCATGTGTCTACATCTACAATATGCAAACATAATTTACATATTGTTTTACATATTTATATTTTATCTCTAAAATAGTCTCAGGTTCGCACACTTTCCATGTTATTTCAGTGTTTAGAGGTGAGACTGTTTACCACTGGCTTACACGTAACATTTAGCCGTGAGCGCATCTAGCATCCAGGTTCGGCATATTAACTAATGTCTTGTTTTCCCAAAAAAAAAAAATACATTTTTTTTTTAGTATTTGCTTAAAACAAGCAAAAATATCTGCCAATGGGGTAAGAAGAATAATCATAATTCAAAAAAAAAAAAATTCTTCAGAAAACATGACAATATATTTGCCAAGTAAATGCATCTTGATTCAAGAATGTTTAGATATTTATTCTAGAAAGACAAAAATACTAAGCAAGAATTTTTTTTTTTTTTT